TTACCAATTAAACAACGAAAATTAAAGCAAATACGGTTAAAGTTCACCTTCATGGTACCTACTAAACCAAAAAGGAAATAATCTAAAACAAACAACGAAGCCCATAAACAAGCTATATCAAACTCATGTAGAAACAAAACACATTCACTAAGTGTAGCAAAAAAACGAGAAAATTCAAGGTTGAGCAGTTACCTCGGAGGGCGAATGATGAAGTTGACAAGCTGTTCCATCGATTAAGATAAGAAAATCAGAAAGTTTTTTCTATTTGCAGTTCAGAACCTCAGATTCATAGCTTTGTAGCAATGGCCGGCGAGTCGGCGACACCATGGCAGGTAGCAACGGCAACCAGCAAAGGCGCGACTATCCACGGATTCAGATCCACCATTGTCACAACGGCAACGGAATAGCCGATGGCTCGCCGTTCATGGTGATCGGATGACGGGAACTAAAGTAGTTTCTTTCGCAGACTTGCAGCAGCGGCAAGGGGGAATAGGGGTTAGAGGAGGAAGAGGAGAAGGGAAACAGTCAGTTTCTCGTTGAAGGCCAAAGAAGGCTTTGTCTTTTCCAAAGTTCCAGATGAATCTGAGTTCTTAAAAGTCGGATTTTTATTAGAACCAGAGAGTAGAGAGGGAAGGGATGAGTTGATTGAAGGGGGCATCAATCATACATGAGATATGCAATTGTAAGTTACAAATTACAATCCATTACCAACTAGTACCTGGTGCGGATGAACGGGGACGACTGACGAGATGGTGGTGGTGGGGGTGCGTGGCGCACGGTAATGCAAATTCTGAACCTCAATCTCCTTTTATTACAAATTACAATCGTCGGGAGTACGGCGCATGTCAGCGTGGATTTCGGCGTTTTCCTTTCTTTACCTTCTCCGAGCCCGAGAAAATTTTTGGTTTTTTTAGGAAAAGTTTATGATCAGTAGTTGAAACGATTATGTCAAGTCAGTCCCGAACTTCAAAATATATTTATATAGTAATTTTCCATCCAGTGAATTTTTATAAATAACAACTGATTGGCTACCATGTTTATGATTTCATTTAATTAATCAAAATATTTTTAGATATTCTAATTTTTAATATGTTATTGACGTTAATAATCAGTAAGTTTTTTGTATTATGTAGTAATCTAAATTTTCAAAATGTGTTTAATAGGTTATTGTCGTTAGCCGTTCATCAATTTTCTGTATTAATGTTGTAATCCGAACTTTCGAAATGTATTTAATAGGTTAAGTCCGTCATTTTTCTTTATGTATTACGTGATGACATGTGCCACTTAAAACTTTTAAAATATCAAAATTCTTCTTACTCATTGTTACGACGGTATCAGAAATTGATGATAGTGTTTTATAAACAAATTTGAACGAACCAATGACGGTGCTGAGAACTAACCAAGTTTCGACGACAGTTGAAACAACTATTGCTACGATTTCCTAAATATTCTTCACTTTTTTTTAATTTTATATAGCTATTGAAATTTTCCTGTATATTCTAAAATCCATCTTGGATAGTTGTTGCAGCCTTCCAATCTCAACTAGGATGCAAGGGAAATGATATTGATCTTAGCATTTACAAGGGAAAGGTTTTGTTGATTGTTAATGTTGCATCTATAACTTAGTTTCTTCTTTGTTTATTTCAAAGTTTACTTGTATTTGGATTTGACTTCATTTACCATAGGTTTGTCATCAGTAATTAGTAATCTATCGTTTCACAGGCAAAAAAAAGCAAGATTGCTTGGAATCAAGGTGGAACGATAACATAGTTTATTGGAATTAAGATTTAAACTAAAAGAGTTTTGTTGAAATTGGTTTATGTGAAAGTGGCAAATAAAGAAAATTAGGTGACACCTTATGGATAGCTTTGACATTTCCAAAATTAACTGACAGATTGTTAATGGTAGAGACCTATTAGACACATTCTAAAAGTTTGGGAAACCGCATAGACACGTTTTGAAGTTTGGGGACTGATTTGACACAACCCCTATTGATCAGGAATTTTCCCTTTTTATGTATTCATGTGAGAGATAATAATTTTTGTTAAAATAAAATTGAAAATAAAAATTACATTATGAAAAAATTGTTTTTTATTATCGTGATATATAAAGATTATTGCAAATTTAAAAAATAATTGATTACATGATAATTATGAATAATATAAAAAAATAGTCTAGATAGTGGATAATCATGTTTGTTATATTAAAAAATAATGTTATGTTATAATATGTTAAAAAGTAATATGTAATAATGAATTTGATAATCATTACTTTTCTTTCACTTTTTACTTTAGAGATTTTCTCTAAAAGATATAAACGTATAAATGGCGTCACTTAAGAATAAATAAGAACAACAATATATACAATTAGAAATAATGTTGCGGTACGATGACTGATTTGAAATTATTATGTGTTAGAGGTTAAGGCTTCATATTTAACAAAAAAAAAGTTTAAATAGTGGTGGAAAAAAAATGACAAAAAAATGTATCATGCTTAAAGGCGAGATGGTGACAATTATACGAATAAAGTAAAAATGTTTTTTTCCAAGAAATTAGCAACATAGCAACCATTATCCAGTGTCATCCTCTTTCTCTATGAAATTAGCAAAACATTGTTTTTCTTCGTAAAGTCACTTAGATCAAAAGTTGTTGACATTAATACTAGGCATGTAATGTATAAATTAGAAGACAATGTTCCTTTAATTTTTATTTTTATTATATTCAAATAAAAATTCAATAGCAATAATAATTTTTTAAAGAAATTATAAAATAATCAATAAATGACATCATCATTGACGATGTTGACAAAATAATAATTTGTCGACCCGCTACCAACCCTAAATATAAGGCTCAGCCTATTGACAAAATAAAGTTCATGTATTTGAGTTTGACTCCTAATACTCATCAAGTTTGTTTCTTTTAAACCCCTCAAGTTTAGTCCCATCCCCTAAGAAAAAACAAGTGTGTTCCATTCATGATCCATGTCTTATCCCAGCTATATGGGATTGTTTACATTAATCCATCAATATATTATATCCAATGTCATATCCATTCACCATTCAATTATTAATGCTTGAATCATTTCTTATTATTCTATTTTTTTTATTTTTTATATGATTTGAGTTATTATAGGTTTTTAGCCAACTTTTTATTTTGCCTATGCTTGAATATTTTGATATTTAGGGTAAAATACAAAAGCATCTCCTGAAATTTCTAACAACAGTAAAAACCTCCCCTTTAGTTTTTTGGTAGTGATCTCCCCTTGAGTTTAATTTTAACAAACACCTCCCCTGAACTTTTCAAAAAACTAACAAAGACCACCCCCCACTAACCCAAACAAAAAACATATAAAGATATAAAATTACCATTGATTTATCGTTAGGATGTCATTTAAAATATCAAAGTTGCCCTCATTCGAGCAACAACACTTTTACAATTTTTACCACTCTTTTTTTGGGGGCAAAAGAAAAATAAGGTAAACCTAACACCATTAGACAATGTTGGTGATAAAGGCTTGGTTGGGATTAGGAAAATGCAAAGAAAATGAAAAAAAAAAATGAGGAGCTTGGCAATAAATAAGGGCATTTGGGTTTTGATAATTGAAATTTATTTTGAGGCGGTTGGTATAGCGGGAGTAGACAATGCTAAAGGAGTTTTTTCAGGCATTATTAGGGAGATGCCACATCAACGCTACAACTTCAGTGAGGGTAGTCCACAAGATAACCGTTAGTGGCAATGGTGGTGGTTCATGTTCGAGAGCAAAACAGTGACAAAGTTGGCTTCGCCAAGAGGATGGTGGTCATTTTTGTTGGGAATAATCCATATATTTTTCCTTGTGAAAAATCACTGAGATCTTAACCACAAATATAAAGCATGCAGCAGTAATAAAACAAATAACCGAAACAGAGCAAATAACAATAGTATACACCAAGTTTTAATGTGGAAAACCCCTCAATGTGATGGTAAAAACCACGGGACCGAAATTCAAATCATCCACTATCAATAATAGTAATGGGGTACAATGTTTTTCTATCTAGTTACAACTATATGATGAACATCAAGAAACCTCTTGGATACCAACAACAAAAAATATCATTACGATGAATAACAAACATGAAATCTCTCACCAAAGGTGGAAGCAAAGCAATGTAAGCAAGAGAAGATGCTGAAAACGGATTTGTCATTTTCGTTTCAACCCTTGTAACTCTTCTTCTTCTTCTCTAAACCCATTTTCTATTCTCTGATATTTTCTAGAGAGCTATTAGAGTTTAAAGAGAGTAGAGTGAAGTGAGCTTTCACCAATTCGTTGGTTAGCCAAGGATGTATTGGTTTGCCTTGCAAGCTAATGCAAAAAGTCTCTTGACTTTCCATTTTCTTTCTTTTTGTCTTCTCTTTCTTTTCTTTTTCTTGTTTATATTAGTGGGTCCCACCTCATAAATGAGGGAACCCCAACAATCTCCCCCTCCTGATTTATGAGAATGGCTGCGCCATGCCCAAACCTACAATGCTTCTACAATATTCAAACTTTTCTTTCGGTAAGGGCTTGGTCATCATGTCTAATACATTCTTATTAGTGTGAATTTTCTCAAGTTGCACTTCCCTTTCTTCAAGAACATTATGAATCTAAGGATACCTCACATCAATATGTTTGGACTTAGAATGAGAGTTTGGATTTTTACACAAGTGAATGACACTCTGACTATCACAATGAAGTGTAAATCTTTCTTGCTTCAAACCAAGTTCATTTAAGAACCTCTTCATCCAAAATATCTCCATACAAACCTCTATGATAACTATATATTCAACCTCTGTACTTGGGAAGGCTACACTTTCTACAACTTGGACTGCCATGACACTGCTCCCCCAGCAAAAGTGAACAAGGAACCTGATGTAAACTTTCTAGAGTCAATGTCACCTGCCATATTAGCATCTGTAAACCCTTCAAGTATAGGTTTACCGCCACCAAAACACAAACATACTTTGGATGGGCCTTTCAGATACCTGATGATCCATTTCACTGCAAGCCAATGCTCTTTGCCTAGATTAGCAAGAAATCTACTAACCACACCAACTACAAGCCAATGCTCTTTGCTTGGCCTAGTATAAATCGTAACATACATAAGATTTTCAATGGCAGAGGCACAGGGAATGTTCTTCATTTCTCCTATTTTTTCTCATTCTTTGGGCTTTGATCACTACACAATTTGAAATTATTTTCTAATATAGTACTAACTAGTTTTGCTTTATCCATATCAAATATTTTAAGCACCTTTTCTATGCAACTTTCTTGTGACAATCACAATCTCTTGGATTTCCTATCACATGAGATTTTCATATTCAATATTTTTTGAGTTGAACCTAAGTCCTTTATGGAGAAAGATTTGCTTAATTGCTTCTTTAACCTATCAGTTTTTCTCTTATCTTGTCCAACAATCAACATATAGAAAAAGAATGATAAAATCATCACTAGAAAAATACTTGGTGAAAACACAATGATCTGAAGTTGTTTTACAATACTCATGCATTGTCATGAAATATTCAAACTTTCAGTACCATTGTTTTGGAGCTTGTTTCAAACCATACAAACTCTTCCTTATCTTGCAAACCATACGTTCTTTTCCTTTGACTTCAAACCCTCCGGTTGTTTCATGTAGATGTCTTCTTCCAAGTTACCATGGAGAAAAGTTTTTTTGACATCTAATTGTTCAACCTCCAAATCCATACTTGCGGTCAAGCTCAAAGCAATACGTATTGATGACATTTTTATCACTGGAGATAAATTTTCATCAAAACCGATGCCATTTTTCTGTCCAATTCCCTTTACAACCAATTTTGGCTTGTACCTTGGTTGCGAGTTTATATGTTTATGCTTCAACCTTTATACCCATTTGTTCTTGAGTGCATTTTTACCCTTGAGTAGTTACACCAAATCATAGG